TATATATATATATAGTATTTTTATAAAATTAAAACTATTATTTTAAAAATAAAAAAAAGAGATAAATTGAACTAAACAACAGCTCTCCCATACTTAACAATTTTGTCTTTTTTTTTTTTTAATATTTGCAGTAATAAGACAAAATATATGAGAAAAATTTGCATATCACATTGGAAAATAATCGCCATTAATTTTTGTGTAAATACTTGTCAATTATATAGATCCAATTAATTAGGATTGTCTCGTCAGATTCACGTTTAACCCTGAAATAAATATTATGCCCGGAAGTCCGCAAGTCCGGACAATCAATTAGCGGCTGCCACGACATCACCCACAAGTGCATGGTGATGTGGCGGATGGTGGTGGGTCGTTCGAACGTGTTATGTACAGACGCAATATTTTCCTCTGAAATTGTTTGATTTAAAACCTGACTCAAATATTAAACAGATTAGAAAACCTAACCCAAAACTCATTTTTTTTAGTCGAGTACGGGTCGAGTTGTACACCTATAATTACAAGGCATCAAATTTCAAGAGCCTCATCATAGACCTGATCTTTTCAACTTTGTACCAATCTTCTATACTTATTTAATGTCAAACCTTTATTAAATTTTATAGGGTTATTATTAGAAAAAAAAAAGGAAATAAAATATATTCAAATAGCTACAATTAAAACGGCTATAAAAATATTGATATAGTTAAATAAATGCCTAGACTTGTTGTCCCAATAAAACAAAAGGGTATTGATTATACTATTTATGGGTAATTATTGCAAATTTCAAGGGCATGAGTGTAAAATATGGAGTTGGATTTTCTTTTGTGCATCTTGTTGGTGTCTTTAGCTTCATGTGGATGATTTTCATGTTCCTATTTTGTCATTTTCTCTTTTTATTTTCTTAATTAATGTTGGATCATTCTTTTTTTCTTAAGATTATTTGGTCATATGTATTATTAGGAGACAAATTGCATGTTATTTTTTGGAAATTTTCATGCATAAGATACATTTTTTTTTGCATTTATAACAACTATTATTTGATATTTAAACTTATAAGCACAAGTAAATATAAAATTTTATATTTTAGAGATATGTAAATATATAAGAATTGTGTGGAATGTGTGTAAATGCTCCTTTTTATGTATTTTGATAGTTAATGTTCAATATAAAATAAAAGAAATTCATAAAATAAAATTATGAGAGATTTTAAATATTATAAAACATTTATTTTCCTTGCACTTGAGAAATGCCCAAATATATTGACTAGCTTGCTATATATATTAGGAGTGAATTTTTTATTTTAATTATTATTTTGATGTAATTTGTGATTTTAATAGAGTCAGTTGACCATAAAAATCGTAGTTGGAGATTGCAATAATATCAGTTGACATTGGAGGTCATAGTTGGAAGTTATAGTAATAATTAATCACATAGTAGAAGTTGATCACATATGTCGTAGTTAGCAGTTGCAGTGGCTTCTGTTAGCCAATGATGTCATAATAGGAAGTTGTAGTAGTAATTAACCACATCAGCGAAGCTGCAAGAGTGTCAGTTAGCTATAGAGGCCATAGTGTGAAGTTCAAGAAGAAACTGACAGCATAAGCCATAATTGGTAATTACAAGATCGTTAATTTGTCACAGAGGTTGTAATAGAAAGCTGCAATAGGAACTGGGCATACAGACGATAGTTGGTCAAATACGTTGTAGTTGGTCACATAAATTAGAGTTGAAGGTTGCAGTAGCAGTTAACTTGATAAGATACAGTTGGACACACATAGCATGGTTGGTAGCTGCAGTAGCGTTTAGCGTTAGTTGGCCTGAGATATCATCATAATTGATTGCTCTAAGAGTATTGATTAGCTACAGTGGTCGTAGTGGAAAACTGTAATGACAACAATTGACCACATAGGTCATAGTAGGACACTACAATTTTAGCTGACCACATAGCCATAGTGGGCTGCTGCAAGAACGTTAGTTGTCCATAAAAGCTCTAATGGAAAGCTGTAATGATAATAGTTAGCTACTTTAACTATAGTGGTATCTATTGTAGTAACTACCTACATAGGCCTTAGTGGATTGTTGCAAGAGCATCAGTTGTCCACAAAAATTTTAATGGAAGGCTCTAATTATTACAGTTAACTACGCATGTTGTAACTGGTAGTCACAGTGGTAACTGGCCACAGAGATTGTAGTAGGTCACTGCAAAACCATCACTTGGCCACAGAGGCTATAGTTGAAGGATGTAACGACCATAGTTAGTCATATAGGCTCTAGTGGACAGCTATAGTAATAACTGGCCACACAATCCGTGGTGGGTTGATATGAAAGCGTCAGTTGGTTATGAAGACTATAGTGAGAATTTGCAATAATAACTGACAACATAGGCCATAATTGGTCACATAACTATAACTAGATGCTACAATAGCAGTTGGCTAGATCAGTCAGAGTTTTTCCATAGGTCGTGGTTGGTAGTTGCAGTTGCATAAGTTGGCTTGAGAGGACACAATAATTAGTAAATGTAAGAGCATTGGTTTGCCATATATGTCATAGTGGAAGACAGAAATGATAATAATTGATCAAGTAGGTTGTAGTGGGAATGTACAATAATAACTGGCCACATATGTTATAGTTGGTAGTCGCAATAGCATCAGTGGGTCACAAAGGTTGTAATAATATTAGTTATCACATAGACCATAATGGGTACGTATGATTGTAACTGGCCACATAAGCCATA